TCTCTGACACTGATCCAAACTCACATTTCCAGGATCAACTCCAGTCTTGCATTTTCCTTCCTCTTGTCCCTATTGCTCCCTATGTCCCCTCTTTGACAAATCCCAAGCTCCCCAGACTTCAGCTCTGCAGTACCAGATCCTCGTTGCTAAGTTGCAGCAATATTTGATGAACCAAGACTCGCCATTGTTATTTGATATTCATCAAACACATGCAATTCTAGTCTCAGCCTTTATCATTATACTAAAAGTCTTACAGTGTTCTTTAGTGAGAAATAACTCACAGACTACTTTTCAGATGAAGTATGAACTGAAGAATAGTTTAAAAAATGTAAAAGGGACTAACTAAAAATGTAAGGTTTTGGCCTAAAATGAAGGGTAGTCAAATATATTATGAGTGTTACTACTTGGATAAAACTTTAAAATGTGTTTATTATTATAATTAAATGTCAGCTAAGAAACTGGACAATGAACATGGAGGAGGCAGATAAATTATTCATAAATATTTTGCTTTTCTTATTTGTATACTTTGCATCATAAATAGCATCAGATTTCACAAGAGACAATCTCTAAATCCAAGAAAGTCTAAGTTTCTGCACGTGAAAAAAGAAGACCCCAGCGGGATGTGGTCTCTGAAATTATTTATGTATAGATGAAACTTACAAATGCAAAGCACACAGCTACAGATCTTAAAGGGGGTAATCTAGCATAATGACTTCTATTCCGGCAAAAACACAAAGGAAAGTTTAGTTCAAAAAGCAAAATGGATTAAAATATTTTATATTAGATTCTCTCTCTACTTCTCTCTCTCTATAAAATGTATGCTGGCAAAATTAATTTTAAACTATACTTTATTTTAAGTCCCCAATATAAATAACTGATAACAACAGCAATCCTGTATATGAATACATTAAGACACTGATATAGTTTGTTAATGATAAATTTCTTTTTCTAAACGCCAACTGATGCATATCTTTAAAAATTAAATTAAAAAAAGAGAGGTGATGAAGGAAAATTCCTGTTTTTGCTATTTGGCCTAATTTCATAATACACCTCACACTGTCACTACAGATATATTGCTTCCCTGATATCCCAGTGAATGTTTTGAGGAAATGTGCTGAATATTCCTTTCAATAATTTTTAAAAAGTATTTGTCATGTATATGACTACAAGCAATATGTAGTATGCATTCTTAAGTAGATGGTTAAGTTTTATTTTTTAAACTTTTTCAGTGTTTTAATCAGTACCAAGTAAACATTTAACATTGTTAATTAAAATCGTTATCACTCTCATTTTTCTTTTAGAGGTTTCCTTTCCTGGAAATAAGTATGAATGCAGGAGATAAAACTAAAATGAAATGATAGGAACACCACATCCTCTCATTTGGAACTGTGGTACTTTCAAACTCCTATATATAAATTTTCCACTGATGGCAGCCTTTTCCATTTCTCATTAAACAATTATTGATTGAATGCTTGATATGTACAAGGCATCAAGGGATTAAAAATAGTGCAGGATACAGACACCGGTATCTATAATCCAGAAGAGAAGATACATCCAAACCCAAATTACTAGCATGTAAGACAGTATAATTATCATATAAATTATATAAGGAAGTGCTAGAGGACAGTAGGGGATATAATCAGCATTGTGTTCTGCGGCCAACCAGAGACTGTAAGGAAAAAGTGACACCTGATCTGGGCAAAAAATAATGGTTAAAAGTCAGGCAGAGATCACAAAGAGGGAGAAGGAGGGTAGATTCAGGCAGAAAGGACAGCCGTGGAGAGGCATCCAGGCAGGAAATCAAATGGATACGGGATATTTCTCATAAGGGGTTTAGATTGACTAGAATTCCGTGTGGGAGAGGGGTGGGATGTGGGGAAAAAAGGCTGGTTGTTGTATCAGAGTGCAGCTTTCAGAAAAACTTCTCTGCTGAATGAACACAATAAACCAGGCATTCAGTGCGAGTTAGAACAATGAATTGCCAAATAGGGAATTTATCTAGCTATTTTAGTGTGTATAATTACAGGGCGAAAATGATGTATTATAGGAAGCAAATACTGAATCAGCACATTAAGAAAGTATCCATCATTAGCAATACTTTTCAAGAGTCAGGGTGTTTAAATTTCCAGAATAGATTATTCATGGTTTTGTATGTAGAGAGAGTCAGGAGATATGGAGGTGGATGCACAGACACAGATAAATAAATAGAAAGTATCCTAATGCACTTATCTGTTAGGAA